AAGCCTTTTTAAAAGAAATTCCCCCTTAAGCTCCTCAGACCATAATGGTTATGTTGTACCTTAGTTTCAATCTAGTTTTACATTTTAGACATATTAAAGTCTACATTTTAATAAAACTCGTACAAATTAAAAATATATATTTTACATTACATAACAATTATACAGTCACAGACACAAGACTCAACTACAGTCTTAAGTCTAAGACTTAGAATTAAGAGAACCATTTGTTCTCTTAACTGCCATTGCAGCAATTTGTGCGTTCTATGTTCACAGGATATACCAGCCTCCTTACCTTCTTTAAGGCCACTGATGAGATGACCAGACATAATGAACACAGCATCCTTAAGGTATAAAGGTCAATTCGCACCAGAACCTCTCGCCACAAGAACAGTTTCTTCCCCTCTGCTGTTGGACACATGAACAATAACCACATGATTGTCCCCGCCACTAACATATGACCCTACGCTGTGTAACTGCATCATTTCATGTTTGGCACTGATCACCACCTGCACTCATGTATATATCTTTCTACGTAGCACTCATAATTCTTATTCTCATGTATATATCTCATGTATATCTCATGCAAATATCTTTCTTTCTACATAGCACTTTAATTCTTATTGTCTGCACTGAAGCACCGCAGCAATTTCCTAATGTTGTAAACCTCAACATCTGGCAATAAACCCATTCTGATTTCTGATTTCTGATTGTAAATATGTCCCCAATATACACAGTTTGATATCAAAACACAGCTTAATAATTTATAGCAATTTTATGGGGGGCACTGGCTATTGGTCATGGACCCTTTGGGGTCCTGAGACCTCCATTTGAGAACCAATGAGCTGTACTACTTTTTTGTGTTTGTTATGTTAACCGACTAAAAATGTCAATAGCTAAAATATAATGTTATGTTATTTGATTAGCCATGCTTTTTCTTGTTTTATTTATCCCCTCCTGCTTTTTATCATTACTATTTAAGTTAGTCTAAATAAAATCTATGGAAACCAGGCTAGAAAGCCCAGCATATATCTGAACTCTTGCCAGGAGGTTCTCAGATGAGCTGTGTCTATCTATTCACTGTATTGTTAGCTTAGAAGCTTGTGGATGGGGATGTCTGATGTGTAGTGTTTTGCTGGTTTCAGCCTCTTGCTTTGTCATGGCAACATAATGGCGTGTAATGAGCTACCACTCGCTTAGACACCCAATACAGCATTGTGACTTGTCATGCTACATAATTACTCTTCTGACCCACGGATTTCAGAGATGATGGCTGTTGCAGTTGTCTCTGCAGTTGCTGTCGCCTCTTGTGATGATCTGCGCGAGACGAAGAGCAATTTAAAGAGTGATTGAATTGTATTTCAGACAGGAAAGGGTTTCACCCGTCACAATAAAAGTCATTCATGTGAAGCTGATATGCAAAATCATAACTGAGTGCATCCCTAGCACCTCTCTACCAAATTAGGTTATAAAACTTTGATAAATCCTGTAGCATTTTGCGATAGTTAGGTACATAAAAAAAAGCATTTCAACATTTTAGCGCGTGTGCATACATGCATGTGTGACACAGACACAGAAAGATTACATTGAGTTTTGAAAATGTGTTCTATTTTTCATCATATCTGATAATTGTTTGCCTCAGACAAGAGAACAAAATCCCCCCTGATAAATTCTCCATTGTTGGATATTAAGGCAGGATCATCTCCTGGAAAATATTGTGAGAAAAAGATAGATAGAGAGAGAAAGAGGTTGGGCGGGGGAGTGGGTAAGAGAGAGAGGTCTCAAAGGCTTGTCTAGACCTCAAAACTTGCCTGTGGTAACATTGCCATCTAGTGGTACCAAAAAACCCTCCCACAAATTACAGATATTGAGATGTCCCTGTTTGGTTAACATGGGTTAAACACACAGGTTTCCTGAATGTGTCCTCCTTATGTCCTCTTAGTCTATTTATTGTATCCAGTCTGAAAATAAACACCACCCTATGTGGTTATTATCATCCAACCTGCTAACAGCCGCAGAGGGATGGTCAGCTGTCAGTCAACCATCACCGTCTAAACTGAGACCAAAATGTAACTTCAGCTCTGAGTGGGTGGTTTATATGTGAATAACAGTTTTTGCTGGACTATCACCCCCTAGTGATTGCACAATGCTGCATTGTTTTGGGATGTGGCGAAAGAAGGAAAATATATCATGTGGACTTGTGTTCAGAAGTCCTGCACGCCAAGCTGGTTTTTCCAACCTCATATACAAGACAAATATTTTCACTGGGAATGTTAGAAAGTCTTGTGAACGCACCAATGAATAGACTCGATATTATGAACAGACAAAAGGGTGGCTGTAAGGCCAATGGGTGTATTTGTTTTTATCAATGAGACGGACTATATTTATTACTTTAAAAACATAACCATTTACTCGTGATTCACCAGAAAGAATGTCTTTGTGCATGTGTATCATGGGGAGATACTCGGGGCCAGAGACAATGCATAGATTTCACGTCCAAATTGTGAATCAATATTCGCCCCCTTTTTTTAATCTGCAAGAAGAAAACATGACATGACCTCTTTTGCATGTCATATCAGTATTTGGTGAATAAGAAATTGAATAATTCACATTCCTTTAATGCTGGGTAACCAGCTGCAGTTATCACAAGTAATATGACAGATCCTGAATTAATATACAGTGTGATAGTGATATTGTGCTGTGCTAACATCTTATTTGGCTTGTTACAATTAAATTAGAAAGGTGAATGTTTTTCTCTCCTCTGCTGCTTCTAGATTTATGATTTCTTTGCCTAACTTTGTAATGAAAGATCTTTTTTAATCAAAGGCTGGGTGAGTCTTACAGATAATAGCTCTTGCACTGATGTCATTGTTGTAGCTTGCTCTTACAGATAGCCAATGTCTTTTTGATGAAATGTAGCAGCTGGTTTCCCTGGAGACTCGCTATCAGTTAGAAATTTGATTTATATTCATTTAAAGCAGATTAATCAGAAATCATATTAATTGGGGAACAAATGCAGACTCAGTATCAGCTAATATTACATAATCAAACTCCTCTATTATTCTATCTATTATGTCTCATACGCTCATTTATTCCATGTGCCCTTTTTAACATACATTGCAATACATTGAGCATTCCCCTGATTAACAATGCTTTTAGATGATCAAGGACAATTTACTGTTTAATCACAAGTACCCAGGCAACACTGATTCAAATGCCTGCCGACATCTACAGCATTACTCCACTTCCATGTTCACATGCTCCCTTAAGCTTAACTAATCTCCATCTCTTTTGTTTGCTAGTGATCACAACAAAAGCCGGTGGTCCCCTCTGATCCGAGTGCCTCCCCACCACCACCATCAAAAGCGTGAACCCTGAGTCCACCTGCCCCTTTACTCATCAAAGATAGGCAAGTGTTTGATCGCCGTGCACCTTCTTTGTCAGTGAGTTTGCAGGCTGAAAACTGACACTGGTGTGTTGTCTTCTGAGATGTTTTTGTGAGCTCATGTTACAGAAACCCTTTTTTCCCCCCTCTTTGCTTCGAGACTGCACCCGGTCCCTCGCCACACCGGCATATCCAGTCATCTCTCAGAACAATGACTTAAAAAGAGAGCAAAAAGGCTACATTGTTACCAAGGGTGTTCTTGAACAAAAGGCCCCACTGTGAAGAGAGAAGTCATTTTATATAATAATTCTATGTGAAGGTGAGGTTATTGATTGGCTGTTCAGCACATAATGTTGATGTTATTGAGAGAAAGGACACAATGACCCTTGAGGGTAGAGTACAAAGATGAGAGGACTCTTTTATTAAAGGCAGTGTTAGGGTTGATGAAATGCTATTTACTTTAAGTTTTATCCTCTAAGCCAAGCATGACCTCATTAAGACTATGAGCCCTGAGTGTTATGTTGTATATGACTCATGAACAATTATATACCTTGAAGTCTATTTGCGGAGGTAAGCACATGTTGCTAGTGGAGACCCATTGTAAACATGGGTGTGTAAAACAATTGTGTGATATGTGTCAGAGATAAAATCCAGTCAGACAACCATGGCCTCTTTTAGATAGCTTTATGGTCTTAGTATGCAATTAGAAGAGGCTTTTCCCAGTCAATGAAAGCAGTGAGTTGGAGGAAGACGTGTCCCACAGGCTGCAGGAGACATCAGGACCGCACACAGACAGTGTGTTTCCTTCACCGCTCACTATAAACTCCCCCCCCAATTCATCACACATGGCTGTAATAAGCCAACAAATTAAGCCATTATACTGTTTTTAAGGTACACAGACATCCGCGTTTAAATGTTTTAAGAGTAGCAAGGGATATCTCACCCCAAGTTCCATTGTATGTCTGAGACCACCAGGGAAATGAATGCACATCCATCTTATCATTAGAGAACTGTGGGATGATTTTTATGATTACAAAGACATATTTTTAGCATGACAGGCCAGAGCACTCGATGCTGCAGCCTGCTTACTCTCACTGAACAGATTGTTGACTTTTTATCATTGTCAAGGGACCTTTTTTTGAATGGGAAGAGATATTTTTTTCTTTACTGTGTTTTCATGATCCCCATCACTGCTCTATGTGCAGTGCCTGCTATTTAAGATGTGTAAATATGGGCATATTACTTTTTCAGTGGCGAAACGGGTCAAACTATTTGGCATGTATAACTGGCCCAAAGCAAGACAGTGATTTAAGCCAAAACTAATGATGGTGTGCGAGTGCGTGTTCACTCCCACTCTGCATACAGTTTAAGAGCAACAGCTATAAAAGTTCATTATGCTGTTGCTGTAATGGGGTTCAGGAAAGTACTCCAGGAGCTGACAAAAGCTGGAGTGTCTTGTAAACCCTTGAGGGAACTTTCTAATTAAATACTCACTCCTTAACTTCAATAAATAGCAAAGATTTCAAGCTTTTCCTACATGTCATACTTTCTCCATACCTGGGGCGAAGAAATGATGCCAGAAGTCGGGAGTCCATATTGAGGAATTTAGTCAGGATGGTTTTAATAGTTTTCCATGTAGAATTGTTTTTCCAAGCTACTGTGAAGCATGTAGGTGAGAGCTGGAGGGGTATGGGCTTCCCTGGGATGTTGGCAAGCGTGTCCAAGCCCATATGTGGTGGTTTAATACAGAAGACCATCTATGAAACAGTCAGATGAGTTGTATCATCAGTAAGTTTAACTCTTCTACATAATGTAGCGTAAACAGATTTATATGTGCACACGAGCTGATATGCTGCCAAAAAGGATTTCATAAATGAATTTATAATGGCAATCCAGACCTGGGGTTGGATGGATGAATGGATGGATTGTTTGTATGGATGGATGGACAGATTGTTTACTTGTCACCGAGAGCTTCCAGGCAAGAGGAAAAGACCACAGAGAAGATTCATTGATGTGGTAAAGAAGGATTTGCAGAGGGTTTAGTGCAACGGAGGAGGACGCGAGGGACAGGTTGAGATGGAGGCAGATGATCCGCTGTGGCGACCCCTAAAAGGAGCAGCCAAAAGAAAAAGACAGAGTATATCTTGTAGCCTTTTTAAAGTTGATGTCAAATGAGGTTATCTCTAAGACTGCTAAATTAAAACAGAAACCCTGCATTTCAAACTGGAGCTTTAAAGACTTGGATGTCTAATGAACATTCAATGATTCTGGGAGATTAAGTCAAGATATCCTGGCCTCAAGCTTGAGTCTTGATCATTTTCCTTTTAATATGTCTCTTATCCAGTGTAGCGATAGATCTAAAACCGCTTAAATACTTTAATTAATTGTGTTTGGCTTTAAAACTTGTAGATTTGTTCTTATTATACAAAAAATATAATCAGATCAGCTGTCGTACACTTCGACTACTGGTCAGAACTACAGATAGAATATAGATCTGTCATAGACTAGGAATCCAAAGCTATGTCCAGTACAAAAATACTTAGGTAGATGGAAGGCGGTGGATTATGCTGATTAAATAGACAACAGTTTCCATAACATCTCTTGTCTGTTGTTTATTTATTGATTGCTCTGCCCATTCCAAGTTTTGATTGCAGAGTATGACTTCTACTCAAGCCCTTCCTCCTCCTTTGCAGGCCTGCTCCCTAAAACAAACAGCCTTTGCTTTGGACAGAGTGAAGGACTATGCAGCAGTCTACCTGTTTTAACGCTCCTCGTGCCTGTCAGTCACCGCGGGATCCTCCAATAGCAGGGCTCGTGAGCCGTTGACTCCTCCCCAGTGTATAATTGAAGTTTCCTTAGTTTCTTCGCCGGAGCCTGCACGCAGTGTTGTCCGATCCGCGGAGGGGATTAAATGCAGAGCAGCAGGGACAATGTTTTCCAGGAGCCTGAACGTGTGTGTGACCCTGTGTTTGTGGATTACGGCGCTAACGAGCCCGGGGAGTGTGTCTGCGAGGAAGCAGGACGACTCTTTCTTCACTGCCAGTATTTATCGAGCAAGATGCGCCTCGAGATGCCTCAGTCTGCACATCACTCGCATCTCTGCGTTTTTCAAGCACTCCCAGGTATGAGCATGTGTTCACGGGAACTCCTGACAATATGCGGGGAATCAGAAGCGAATGCGATGCCGTGCCGCTGCATGAATGGGAAGATGTGCCGGTCGATGATTTCCACACAGCCTAAGTCAAACCTGTTTATCCTGAGCCCATTGTGAGAAGGCTGGAGCAGGTCACTAATGAAGCCCGTGTAGTTCATTAGTTTGGTGCTCTGTTAGGAACAATCACTGTCACCAAACAACCCTGTCACAAATTTGGAGATTGAGCTTCACATTAATTATGACAGCTTTGCTTCCTTACAAAGTTGCTATATACAGAGTGTGGCTGTCTGTGTGTATGTGTGTGAACGTGTGGAGTGGGAGGCTTTAAGCTATATCAAGCCTAATTAACCCATCTCAGTGTTTTGAGACAGAGACATTATGAATGCCTCTCAGTTGAGCCAGCTTCCATTCATTACTTGCTAATTACTGGAAAATGAGATACCTCTCACTCATTTGAAATGTACTTGCTGCTGTTTCTTTATGTAGTGGGTAACTTTTCTCTTACCTTGCGTTTGGAGACTTTTGACATTGATTGTCCCACCAGCAAGCGTGCTGTGACCCCGAGAGCGTTTGAAGCTCCTATATAAAATAGATGTATGCTTTGGATGATTTGGCATGTGGTGTCAGAAGTTGTTTTTCACCCTCCACCGGACACACTGTTCTCTCCCAGGACTCCAGAGAAAAGAGCTGGTCACTGATCCCTCTCCCCTCTGCTCCTTTTCACCAGCTATCTGTCTGCTGACGGCCTTTATATTCACTTCATTTGCATTTGCAAGGCATGTCTTTCTCAAGGTGCATTAATGAATCCCTGATTGTCAGGAAACATTCTGGGGCGAGGTAAATTTGTAATTAGGTCTAATGACTCAGCAAAGCCCATTGCTTTATTTCTTTGGTACCAATTACTTTTACACTGAAAGCACTTATTGATTTGGTGTAGTAATGCAGGTCCGTGGGACACAGACCTTCTGCAGTTAATTCAAAGGAATTGTATTAAGGGATAACAAGGCTGATGGATGAAGTGTCTTTATTCCAATGAAAAATCCCACGCGGATGGAAAGTAGGAGACCCAGTTTGTATTTCTTAAAGTGCAACTTGGCAAATAGTGTCAGGGATTAATTTAGAGAATATACAGTGTGTTGCAGCCCTAGGTTGCAAAGTTGGGGGGATTAAATTAGTGACCAGCCAGGAGGCCAAATAACTGATGGAGTCTCACCTCTAATGAACAGCTAACAGTCAGTATAATTGACTGCAGAGCCTCAGAGTCTGGGGCGCTCTTCAGTGAGGGGAAGATGAGAGGAAGGTGTTTGTCTAAAGAGAGGGCCGTTTTGTGGTTGGTGATAAGCAAGGGTGCTGGAGCAAGCTTGTGGGTCTAAGAATAGACGGCAATTGTTGATAATTTGCACGAACTGTCTTATGCACTGTTTTCTCAACAGTCCTTTTATGTGAGGATGGGGGGTCTGGTCAGCTGCAAAAACATGCCCTGCCAATCCCCATCCCCCACCCCCAACCTCTACCCTCCTGGCCCTGCCAATAAATGCCAGCATCACACCTCATAGGCATGCAGAGGATATATACATCGGGCTACCAAGTGATGCTCCAAGGAGGTCACCTTCCTGCTAAATGCTGGTGCCCAATTGTGCTAAATGTGATAAGCTCTAATGTAATGTTGCCACAACAGTGGGGCATGCTCAGTCAGCACAACCCACAGGTGGATCTGCTTCCTCTGCCAGATCTTATTACAGCAACGGCAGCTTGGAGCTCCACTCCAAGGATCGACACGACAGACCTCTTAATTCATCTCGGACATCCTTCAGGGGTCATTTAATACTCAGTGGGGAAAACCAAGACATGCAAGCCTTTCCATTTTAATGGAAATGAAAGACCTTGGCTGCATGTCAAACGTTTGCCTCCTGTTTCTTAATATTTTACTGTGTCTTCTCAATATCTGGTAATCTATATGGGCTGCTTATTTTGGTTAAGGTACAAGATACAAATTTTCCTCTTAACACATTTTGCAGCTGGAATTTAAGACTGGAATGATACTTGGAGAATTTAGATGTTATTACAGATGTTATGAACACCCACGCGTCTTTCCTTTCTTTATGTGGCTGAATCAGAATGCAAATCAGAGACTTTGTTTTAATTGCCCCAGTTCTGAATTAGTGTGAAATGGAAACAAGCATAGAGTTGCTGAGTTAGGAAACCCATGGGTTGTCAGATTTATAGCATCACTAGATTTATTGATGCAATAGTATTTCCAAATAGAGATTTATCGGCATTTTACTCCACTTTTGGGGAACTTGTCACCCTAGTACAATAGACAGAGGGGAACACCCAACCATAAATATTAGCCTCGGACACTTTAAAATATTAAGAGCGAGCTGGGAGCCCCGTGCAATAATGTATTCTGAAAGCATCAGCCTTGTAGTGGATTATTTATGTGGGGACCTGTGAAGCCAAAAACAAGGTGTGTCCATGAGGTCTTGTTATTACATTCGGAGCAATAAAAATCTAACATCTTAAATTCAGTCATTCATCGCTTGTGTGCTGCATAGTAAAGTCTAAGCATCTTGCCTGAGAGGTTTGTGTTTTAAGTGAAGGCAAGAAAAAACATTGGCGAGTGGTTTTTCCATGTCCCCTTGTTTTCGCCTTTGATATTAAATAACCTGCGGTGGAATCAAACCTCAGCCAGTGCTCGTCTCATGTGTGGAGTTTTTCATTAGTGAAGACAGCGGATGAATAAGGGGTCTATGTAGCTTGGCCTCACCTCTCTCCATAAATGCTTTTAAACCATGACAGTCATGTCTGTAAATCTCAGCCCAGAGTGCTGCTACACCCTGAGCTACCTCATTTGACAAATAAGCCTCATTCCTAAGTGGAGACAACTTTACACTAGTGTTGCTTTACCTTTCTGAAACACCCTTTAATGTTAACACTGAACACACACTGAACGCATTAGCTCACTTTCAGAGTGTCTGACAAATTATTCATATAATGTGAATAATTAATGGGCAGAATGACCACAGCCCTCACACCCACTCGAGTCGAAGCCTAAATCTCAGGCTCCTATATTTTGCTGCTGCGTATGTTCCCTTAAGGAGAAGTTATTTTGGTGATGCTTGACGACTCCTGAGATGTCAAAGGACACAGAGAGAGATCGTGGTCTGTCCTTTGAAGTCCAGTCTCCAGTTGAGATGGCTTGAAAAGTACGGGGACCTGTAGACCAGCTGGATTAAATGCAATTTGAAAATGTGATTAGTGGGAACCGCAATGCTTTTAATCCAAATCAGACGCCCATAGGAGACAAAGATTTCCAGTTTCAAAAGCTGGATTGGACTTATCAAAGATCAAAAGGCCTTTGTACATGTTCGTCTCAGTTTGTCTAGACAATGCAACACGCCCTTGCCCACCTGCTTTAATCCTCAACTGACAATGCCCATAGTGTATCTTTGTGATAAATACCCTGTTTACATGCCTCATCTAGTCACTCCGCTGTCATCAACAAAGCATGGTTCACCTTCGTGCGTTTGTGCGCCACTGTCTGGTCTTCTCACACAGGAGAATATCTGGAAAGAATTCATTCACTTGAGTCCTTGACAGTCCTCAGGACTGCATAATGTTCAGACTGCAGAGGAATGTCATGGTGAGTCAGAGGGATGAAGTCCTGACCTATAATTATTCCCCCGTTGGTCCCTGAAATGGTGGGGTCAGGCCTGGACAGCTGGGGCAACATCCTGCTGAGCCTCTCTGCTACGGGGATGCTGTCACAAAGCAAAATTAGCTCCTATGTGGATCTGGCTCTGTCTCCATTGATGGATGGGTAAAGAAAGGTGTCAAAAACAGGATTGATGATTTAGGACATGGCCTTGAGTTGTGACAAACTGTATAAATTATCTGGAGGCATTGCCTGCCAGTGTAAATGTCAAAGTTTTATTGATGTGGTGACACTGACGGGGTTTGTTTGCTGGGATTGATGTTTAAAAACCACGTCAAAGTCTTCAGAAAACCTGCTGGTGCACACTAAATTTGAGCCAATTAACTCCCATTTTTTTTTTACTTCACATGGTAACAAAATTAAACTATTCCAAGTGTCCTTAGTACTTTTTCATCCTTATCTGAATAGTTTTTTTCAAGAGATTCTCTGAAGACATGACTGTCCAATCATGGCCTCCTTTGAAGCCTTTTCAACCATTATCCTTGATACAAAAAGCAAAGCACCTACTGGTACTGGATGTCAAATTAAAGCCTTTAATGATAAGTTCTCAATGTCTCATGGGAAATTTCTTCTGGATTACATTGTGAGAAAATGCTTTGAACTTGACATTGAACTTAAGCAGACCTTTTGCCTGCAGACCCCTAAAGTTTGGCTTTATCTAACCGCTTCATTTCTTCCACAGGGATGCAAAGGGAACATCCAAAACTCAAGGCCAGATTTAAGTCAGTGACTACACATTCCAGAAATGTAACTCTATAAACAGAGTCTCCACTGAGAATACTCTCACGATAATCTGTCATTGATCTTAAGTCTAGGAAATGATCAATGGTCAGATGATTATTTATAATGTCACAGGTGATTAAGCCAACTGATGTTGCAGTTCCCGTGTGTGCTACACAACTTTACAGCTTCTTCGAGTTGAGCTGTAAGGGAGTTACGGTTACGAACCAACCAAAAACGTAAATCCA